TCCTTCTTCTTCGAAAAAAAAAAAAAAAAAAAAAAAAAAAAAAAAAAAAAAAAAGAAAGAAAAAGAAGAAGAAGAAGAGACTAGAATGGAGAAATAAGGACTAGTTGTTGAAATTTTTTTGAAAACTCGATCCATTGCCTCAAAAGCAAAAGTGGAGACTTTTGAACTTTGGAGAATCGAGTTTATTAAAGTCCGTATAGGTGAATTCATTGTTTCAAACGCCTGTCTTTCAAATTTTGGCGTAATCACCTAAATTCAAGAAGAATAGCCACACATACCCATTTTTCCTACCTCGAACCAAAGAGCCTAACAATTGAAAGCCACAAAGCCCCAATGATCCCAATAGCTTAATGTTCGATATTAGTAGAGTAGAATAATTTGGTGAGTATTTGGAGTCAAGCATATGCATGTAAGTATAAATTTTCTCTATTTTTAACTTGCAAATATGGGATACTTGAAGCAATTGTATGATTTGTGGTTTTTTGTAATGGTGAGTGACTAAGTGTTGTTGAATTTTGAGCTTGCGAATGTCTAAGGAATTGTCATTATAATTACAAGTTCTGAAAACGTGAAGTTGATCATTGATCTATGTGATGAGATGTTATCGTTGAGTTATTTGCTTATTGGTTGATTTTGCTTGAGGACAAGCAAAAGTTCAAGTTTGGGGGTGTGTTAAGTGTATATTTTTATACTTTATCGTATCTTTTTATTTGAGCTTTTGGTGTGTTTTAACGATAATTGGTGCTTAAAAAGTTGATTTATTGTATTTTAGGTACAAATTGAAGAATTGGAAAAGTATGGGGTCAAAACTGCAATTTTGGAGAAAATATGGGCCAAAAGTGAAAAAAGCAGAATTCTGGAGAATAGACCGCGCGGCCGTGCGGATTTTAAGCATAAATCTCACACGGCCGTCCGGATGGGCGAGTTGGCGCAGTGAAGGAATCTTAATTGTACAAGGAAACTGTCTTCTTCCCCAAGTTCTTCACCCTATATAAGACCAAGCCAAGCACACAATTAGGGATCTATCTCTTTACGCAATTTCAAGGGCAACAAAGCAATAACGAAGACAAAGAATTCGAAGACTCCAAGCAAAGATTTATCGTCTATGATTTATTTTATTTGCGTTTTTGATTTAATTATGAGTAGCTAAACTACTTATTTCTAGGATTTTATTTGGAACCCTATGTGGGATTTATGAACCCAATTCTATGATTTTATGCAAGTTTTAATTCCGGATTATTTCTTCTACTTGTTTTATTAAGTGCATGAACTTGATCAACTTATGTGCTTTTATGTTATTGTTAATCGCATGAATCGGAAGATCGGGTTAATAATTAGAACTGTGGTAGAAGAGCCTTTGTGGTATTAACATAGGAATATAGTTAATCTCTTAGGTAGCCATTATTGAGATTTGTGCTTAATGCTGTGTTCTAGAATTAATTGCATAGGAATATAGTAATTGAATCTAGAGTATTAGAATCGTAATACACGCGGAAGCGGGTTATGATTATTTTAGCATCTCAGGTTAATAATCCGGGTTAATTGCTTGCATAATTGAGGGAATTGGGGGAGTAATAATCACATAGGGGGAAGAATAAAATCCTAGGCTTGTCTACTTTGATTAAATCTTCGTTTTTAATTGCTTTCTTGTTTTTGCTTGTTTTTAATTTAGTTTAATTTAGTTTATTCTCTCAAAACTCGACTGTGTAGGGTGGGCTTGATAATAATTGGTAGAATTTAGCGTCTAGGATTAAGTAATTAAATATTCCCTGTGGGTTCGATATCCGGACTTAATTGTCCACTATATTACTTGTACGATACGTGCACTTGCGTGTAGGTTTTCGACCAACAAACCACCCTCTCAACTCATCAAATTTAGTGGAATCTTCGAGATTATATAGAATATTATCACTTTTGTACCCGCTTTATCTTATTCGAACTCTACATTTTGAAGCAAGATGAATCTAATATGTGTTTTTTGGCTTGTATATATCAGATTGTGGTGCATCAGAAACTGTATTTTTACACAAAACGAGTACAAACTAGAGCACATTTCACAGAATCTAGATGATTATGTTGAATTTGACACCATAAGGGTGGAGCTGTAAGAAAAAATCATAGTTGAGGGAAATACATGTAATTATCCAAACAAGATGGTTTTTTTCGTAAATTGACCGTACCTCAGGGTGGTGTTTGTAATTTGCCCTTATTTCAAACATTTTTTTTACCAACACCTTATATATGATTTCACTACTACAGTGTAAATTGACTATATTTTTCAAATTACAAACAAAAGCTAATTTTTTTTTTCTTCACATTCTTCTTTAAAACATATTTACCCAAAATATAATTCTTCGAATTTATTATTTAATAATAATACAACAGTTATTGCATAAACGTGACACGTGATCAGTTACACAAAACTTGTGAATTTACAGCCCTTTCCTCTTCTAATATAACTTCTCAAATTAATTAATTAATTAATTAATTAGTCCATTCCTCTGCCCTAATCATAAATATTTCAGACCTATAAATTCATCTTCAACTTCTCTTCCTTTTCTCACTACTAATCAAATATTAATCGAAATATATATAAAATATCCGAAAAATTCGGTCGCAGTAATCAATCATGGCTAATCACCATTGGAAACTCCTAGCTGCAATTCTTCTCATGATGGCATCATCATCGACAACGATGACGTCAGCCGCAAGAAATCTTGACTCGAAATCGACCCTCTTGGCGCGCCTCAAGTTAAACGAAGAGGGCTCGAAAACGTGTTTGGATGCTCTATTGGAGCTCAAATCATGCAGTGGCGAAGTGGTGCTATTCTTTCTTAATGGAGAGACGAGTCTCGGTCCGAACTGCTGCAGCGCGATACGAACGATCGAGCATCAGTGCTGGCCTTCGATGATGGGAACCCTAGGCATCACCGCCGAAGAAGGGGATATTCTTAGAGGCTACTGTGATGCGGCTGAGCACGGCGGCTCCACCACCACCACTACAGCCACCCCTCCTCCGTCGGCGGTGGCGGCTGTGCACCAGTGCTACAACCTCCCACGCTTAGTCCCGGCGGCACGGAATTAGCTGCAGCCTATGCAGAAAGACTTACGTTGTAATAAATAATAATGTATGTGTTTTGAGTATTAATTAACACTTACGCTTGAATAATACTACATTTGCATGCTTCTTGTCTCAAAACTAAAATGAAAAGTGATCTATTTGATATTGTTAATCCTCTTTCCTCCAACTAAAAATAGATACAGTAGAACCTCGATAAATTAACAACCTTGATTAAATAATAGTTTATCTCGGTCCCGACTCGGTGAAAATATGTTAAATTATCAACTCGATAATTTAATAATTTTTTAAATTAATAGAATTTTCCTAGTCCCCACTGTATTAATTTATAGAGTTTAACTGTATATATACATATTGTTAATCCTCCTTCATTCCACGTGTATTAAACTAAAATCTTTATAATTATTTATCTTTATGAAGTATTAAATTTTATATTTAATTATATAAAATTTCTCTAAAATTGCTTACTGAAATTTAATTTTATTTATTTATTTTATTTATATGGCAGGTGAACTTTTAATTATTTTTCAAAATAAATTCATTAGGAAAAATACATTTTCATCTGCAATTGGCATTTGACAATATATATAAAAATGCAATTAATACCTTATTGGAATTCTAAAATGACAAATAATTAATGACTAAGAAATACCCAAAAAAACATATAATAAGGTACAAAATAAGTAATATGATGAATTCCATCAATACAGCCTCCTTGCTCGCCGGCGTAAACCACTCCTTTCGACTGAAGAAGATGATGAACAATTTAATGACCAAATTTATTATTTTATTTAAATTTTAATTTCTATTTCTTTTTCTACATTCGAACTAGAAATTTAATTTGCTGCGCACGTGTATTTCTTGGCCAGCTTAATAATTCATGTGTTTTAGGATTTTGGTCTGTTCTGTTCAATAGGATTTGAGTCAGTAACTTTGTGTGTATTGCAATCGATATGTTTTCCGAATTTGGGATTACGATTTCACTATTGGGGCATTAATTTTGTGCTGCTGCCCAAATGAAATCTGGGCTTATTTATATAATTCGTCGCCTTTGCTTCTTTTTCCTTGATGCTTCTCGTTTATGCACGAAAACTTCGTTCCTTGTGTTAGTGTTGTTTTCGATGATGATTGACGATAAACATGAATGTTATTTAAAGTTAGTTTACTTATTTATGTTATATTTGATTTGTTTTAGAGAAAATTGCCGTTGATCATGAATCTGCATCTATAGACTATATGTTTGTTTGCCAGAATTTCGGAATTTTAATATGTCGAGCTTTGTTGGTATTCGTAACTCTTAAAATATCCGAAAAGAAACATACAGAAAAAGGCAATAAACGAATATGCCAAATGTGAAACAGAGATATTTAATCGGTAGCATTCTCAGCAGTACAATAAACAAAACTAAATCTCTATGTATTTTTTTATTTTATTGAGTATTAATTAAGTTGTCGGAATTAATGCATAATTCCCTTTCGGCTAAGCGCGTGAATATTGAATAACTTCGTTGCATATCTTCCTGAATTTTGATTGCTCTAATATGTAATCTCAATAGCACGGAACAAAATCTGCTCAAATTGATTTTTCGTATACTAAATCAAGACTTGTGTTGACTTCATGTAGCAAATTAATTTTCATCTCAATATTTTGTCTTACGATATTTAGTGCTTAGTGAATTCTTATGAGCCGTGAATAATCATCTAAAGTAATTATGTATATTGTTGTTTATTGATGTTTTATGCAATATCTATATAATGTGAGATTCCATTCTTTCAATCTAATGCATTATGCACAATGATTGTTATTTCAATTGGTTTTTGCCGGACACCGTACCAATCGATTTGTAATTCCAAGATTGGAAATCGAACACACTAACCAAAACAAAATTTATCCTCCAAAAGTAGTAGACTCTAAACTCTCCGAAGTTAAGGTACTACAAAAAAAAAAGGCTATTCTTCCTATTTTTGCCGTAAATCAATGTTATTCTCTGTTGTGACTTCAGAGACCCTAAACATATTTTATATAGAAAATTTGTCACAAGATTGTATTTTTAGTTATCGAACTTAGCAATTCTATTATTGTTGTAAGTGTTAATTATTTTGTTTGATAGATTTACAAATAAAAAGTGTTTAAATATTAAATCCAGCTAATGTATAATGGTAATTGATATAATCATACGGTTGAGAGTGACTCGTTAATAATTTAGAATAATATCTAAAAGGTCAACGTCAGTACAATAGAGAGGTTTCTAGTGAGTTCTTATGAATATCCACAACTTGGTGATAACTTTTTATATATTTATACAATATTTCTATCTACAAAATTGGTCTACTTGTGACGCAGCACGGAAGCGTATAAAAGAACAATTTCACAAATCGATATAGTAAAAAACAAAAACTCTCGAATCCACCAGAAATTTAAGAAATTGTCGTTGATTTCATTCTCCTTCTCCAATCGCGCAATTCGTTTCTTTTCTTTCGCGAAGTGCCTGCTAATTCTTTTCGCTTTTCCTTCATTCGATCTCAATTTTTCTCAATGGGTGTTTTATTATTTGTTCAGTAAATAGTAGGTGTTTTTTCAGTAATTAAATATTACAGAACTAATTTCAATGCATTAATATCTTCATAGTAATCTTCATGAAATATATTTGATTTTACCATACATGTATGGTAGTTGAAATAAAAGCCTTTAAAATGTATGAATATCTTGTTTATTTGTATTATTACTTGATTATTTCAAACTGAAGCCAAATTCCCGTGTTACCTTTTTAATGATATTTTAAGAAAAGGTTCCAACGTTCACGTGCAACTGGAAGTTGAATTTAAATTCTTCGGTACATTTTTTCGGGGGAATTTTCTGATGCAAAGTTGTTTATCCGGTAATTTGAGTTGAATACTATTCCAGACAAGTAGGTGAAGGAAGCTCTTATGTCGTAAATATATCATTTTTCTTCGAGTTGACGGATCAGCTCTATTTATTTGAAGTGAGTGTACTCTTTCAAGTGTCAAGGCCTTACTTTGTGGATATGTTTGCGAGAGCATCAAATATAATATATATCTGCTGTGAATATGTATAAAAAGCTACAAACAATAGTTTTTTTTCGGGTTTTTTTCCAAAAACCACCCTTGTGTATTCTCGAATTGCTGAAAAAGACCTCGTGTTAAAACAATTAGCAAATACCCTCTATAGAAATTAATCAATGGGCAATAAGGACCTTGAGACCTGACAGTGCACTTCACTTGCCATGAATGGAGTGGGGGTTCATTTTCTGACACGAAAATACCAAAATGCAACCAGAAATTTCACAAGTACCAAAATGAAGTTTTTAGGATTTTCAATTAAGTCCTTTATATTTTCAATTAAGCCCTCTTCTTCAACCTCAAGAGTCCTCCACTTTTTCACCGTGATTTTTTCTTTGCAAAAACCATCATGCAAACCCGGGTCTGAGCATGAAGTTCATTTCTATTCCAAATCCAAGAAAACAAAAAGGAAGAAAAACAGCACCTCAAACTTTTTCGACACATCCCTGCCCAAACAAAAAGAAAATATACAAAAACCTTTCAAAGCACTTTCTTCCAATTTTCATAACATTTTCTTCCAATTTGTGAAACAAAATTCGTATCGTGAGGAATAAGAACAAGAATGACAAACTCGAAAAATCATTTGCCGTCACTGCACAGTTACTCCGCCAAACTCGAAGCCGACTCTTCGATCCACCACGCTGTCGCCACTGCCTTTGAATGCCACCACCGCTACTATAGCTTCTGAATCCACAATTTCCGTCTACCGAAAATTTCCGTCGCACTTTTTTCTTCCGAAAAGCAAAAAAAAAAAAAAAAAAAAAAACCGCCCACCATTGCACCAACCATTCATCTCTGTTTTTGTAATATTTTTATTTCATTTTTCTTGTTTAGAATTGAAAATTGCTATAACAAGTCAACCATCAATTTTGAAGTAAGGGGTGGTGTGCTTCGTAAAATACAACATAGGGATGGTCCTTGCTAATATTTTTAAGACGACGACTTTTTCGACAATTTGACATTACACAGGGGGTTATGTGCAATTAACTCGTTTTTTTTCAATTTCTTTTAGTTCACATGACATTTATAGTTCAAATAATTTCAGTGACGTTGATTGAGTTTGTGATGGTTATTGTTCATGGTAAGTATGGACTAATAATTTCCTCATTTTTCCCACCTCGGCTAGTAGTCTGCATAAGCGCACTTTGGTATTATTCTCGAGAGGAGGATGGGTTGGTGAGTTGATGTACATGGCTCTGAATAAGTTTTTGTTTTTTGTTTTTTGTTTTTTGTTTATGTCCTAGATTTTCCGCTACATATTCCATCTGTGTCTTCTCTCTCTACATTTTCTTCAGATATCAAGAGGTCTTTATAAAGGGATGTCGAAAAAAATTATGTTATTCCTCTCGAACGACCAGTTACCTGAGATGAGCTAGCTAGGATGTAACTAGGTAATTCTTGATCAAAATAAATATAGTGTTCGTAATTGTTAATTGATACATTTGGAAAAAAACAAGTCAGCTTTAATGGTTGTTGAGATAAGTTATGCACTTCTTTTGTCTTCTGCACACTATCTCTTAGAGCTCCATTTCATGAAGTACTTACTCAAGTGAGAAATCATCTCGTGTTGTGTGCGTCAAATAGGGGTGTTGGACATTAGTTTATTCCTTTTTAGAATGTAACTTGCTATCTGAAGAGGTTATTCTGAAGAAAGAAAATATATAAATTGCTTTTAAGTTGTGGAGATTGTGTGGCAAATTTTTATGTTAATTTAGTTAATGTACATGAACTAAATTGGATGCGGAATGCCATGCACCTATGACCTTCTGTACCAATTTATTAGGTTTGATGCAGCTTCTTGGCATCAAATCATCAACAATGGTGCTGAGGAGCTTGATTCACCCATTACGGGAGTTCAAGAGAGGGAGATAAAGTTTCCACTCAATTTTGAGTGAATGACATTTCCTTTTGTTAACAAAGTTATTGGTATGCGGACATTTTCAACGTTGTGTGCTTTTCATATCAAGGGACATACATGGACCATGAAGCAAGACAGTGCACTGTAGACTATCAAGAGATCTATGTTTGAGCTTTCTTTTCTTTGTCTTTGTTGCAATTCAACGCTTGTACTTGTAAATCTTTAAGAATCGTGAGAAATAAAAATTTATATCGTACGAAAAAATCGTGTGCTCCATCACTAGTGTATATAATATATAAGAACGGTATTCTTATTATTTTTTGCCGTAAATCGGATTTTTTCCATTTTGTTTTCTCTTTTTCCTGTGAAACAGTGTAGTTTTATTTTCTTCATCCAATCAAGTGCAAACATTGATAATATTTTCCCTTTTCTTTTTGACTTGCACGATTGTAAGAGGGGTCACAACGTTATTCTCTGTTGTTTTAGCTTTTTTTTCATTTTGGCTAATAATAATTCCATTTGCACTGAAGAAAAAAATAAAAACTTGTTACTTGGTGTCAAGGTCGGTCCTCAATATTTTATATAGAAAATTTGTCACAAGGTTGTATTTTTAGGTACCGAACATAGGAATCCCAACTAATGCATAATGATATTAATTTAATCTTATGGTTGAGAGTGACTCATTAATATTTTAGAGTTCTAAAAGGCTAATGATAGTACAATAGAGATGTTTCTAGTGAATTCTTAATTAGAAATATCTACAATTTGGTGACAACTTTCTATATATTTCGACTATATTTCTATTTACAAAATTAGTCTACTTGTGACGCAGCACGGAAGCGTATAAAAGAACGATCTCAAGAAACTTTGGAATCCACCATAACTTAAAGAAAACTCCCAATTTTATTAAAAGAAAAAAAAATAATGTATCACAAAAATAAATCCTACTGCATCTATTTATACTTTTAAAAAATAAGTGGAAATTGGCTAGAACTCTTATTTCTCGAAGTTATATGGGTGGAGATCATTCTATTTACTAAATGAATATAGGTTTAGAGCATCTCCAACCCATTTCACCATTTTCTCACCAAATCTCATTTTTCATGGTGAAAAAGATGCGTTCATCTAAAAAATATATAGAGTTTTGAAAGAGTACATTGGACATTAAAGGTAGATTTGGAATTATAAAAATAGCATTTTGGTGGAATATTAGCTAAGGGGTTTTCTCTAATTATTCTTGGGAAGGTTGTTTCCTTAACTACATTTCCTAGATACTGGTTCTTGTAATTTTCCCATATTTTAATTACTAAAATATATGTAAGCGTCAAAATAAAAATTTGAGGGTCCTTTGAGATTGGGGGCCCTAAGTGACGACATGGCCTGCCGCTTGCCCTCAGAACCGACCCTATTTGTTATAATCATCTTCCAAAATCATAACTTTACATATACCTAATATACTTGAGAATAACGTCTTGTTCATAAATTAAAGAGTTACAAATTGCTCGATTAATTGCTTATCAATATTTAAGTAATGAGAGATCTCTTCATCTCATCACAACTTAATTTTCACTATTAATAGACAAGAAAACTTTTCAATTACAAAAAAACCCTTTCCTCTTTCCAACTCATATATGTATATAAACTCTTCCCATGCACACTTCCATCTTCACCACTACACCCCATACACTATCAATCGCATAATAATCAAAATCCCGAAATTTTGCAATCATGTATTCTAATTACCCTAGTTGGAAGCTTCTAGCACTTCTTTTCATGATGGCATCATCATCATCGACAACGATGACGTCAGCTGCAAGAAATCTCGACTCGAAATCGACCCTCTTGGCGCGCCTCAAACTAAACGAAGAGGGCTCGAAAACGTGTTTGGATGCTTTATTGGAGCTCAAATCTTGCAGTGGTGAAGTGGTTCTATTCTTTCTGAATGGAGAGACGAGTCTCGGTCCTAACTGCTGCAGTGCGATACGAACAATCGAGCATCAATGCTGGCCTTCTATGATGGGAACCCTAGGCCTCACCACCGAAGAAGGGGATATTCTTAGAGGCTACTGTGATGCGGCTGAGCACGGCGGCTCCTCCGCCCCCACCACCACCACTCCTCCGCCGGCGGATGTGCGCCAGTGCTATAACCTCCCACGCTTAGTCCACTAATAATCGTCGATAAAATTTGCGGTTGATGGAGTACTCTTAATCAAATGTTACTTTTTGATGAGTATTAATAAAACTGATAAATATTTTTCTTTTTTTGTCATCATTTTTATATACTTGCCTAGCTACTTACTATGTTAATTAACCTAATCTCTAATTGTTATAATTTCATTTTAAGATAATATTCAAATTAAATTTATCTATAGATGGGAATCAATGTTACAAGGATATATATATATATATACACATAAATTTTTAAAAATAAATTTATATTTTTTTTAATCAGATGGTCGGTACTCGGTAGAAGTCAGGTTAGCTGTGATTGAGAAAAGCAATGACAACTATTATCCTACCTACATTTTTCTTTTTGTTTCTATAAATAAAACCATCGATTAGGTCAATTTGATGTTTGGGAAAAGATATAATAAAAAATAGAAGTTGTTAATTACAATTAAAATTTAAAATATTACTTATTCTAAACAGTTGGCGATGGCTTTTAGCAGTTAATTTAGAAGTCAAACAAATTCCAACTTTTAATTGATTATAAAGATGTTAATACATAGGTCATGTTACATAAATAGTTTTGAGGTTAATTATTTTATAAAAAAAGAAAAGAAAAGAAAAAAGGTAGCTAGACTGTGAATCCAAAAAACTCGTAATTAGTTTCTCATGTGTATAAATGATAAAACTAGGTATTGAATTTAGGGGTTATTTTCTAAACACCCCTTAAAAATAGCATCATTTTAAATTAGGAGAGTAACATTTTGGATTATCGGAATTAATCGAGACTTGAGCATTTTTCGAGATTTCTACTCCATTCTGAATTATCGGAATTGATCGGGACAACTCCAGGCGAGTCATCTAGTGTACATGTGTTGATTCATACGTTGGTGCGTTGATTTCTACACGACGAATGAATTATCATTTCGTTTCTCGATTATCACTTTTCGTTTAAATTATCGCACTATTATTACCTCGAACACTGTGGCAAAAAAATCCCCTACATATAAGACTTCTTGAATAAATTTCCAAAAGACTTGTGCAACATTCTATTATAGGCCTTGGTGGTACTTGCCTAAACATGGTTTTGCATTGGAGAACAACTGGAATTAATTAGGTAGGTAATCAGCCCACTAATCCTTAATTATTGGTTAATTAATTAATTAATTAATTAATTAAGAAGTCAAACTCTGTTGCGCCTACCCTTTTAAGTAATTCCATAGAAGAAGGATCCATCTTGCTCCCCACATGCTGTCGTGTGTTCACATTTCAGTAACATCACAACCATTAAGGAATCTTAATTAAAATTATTATACACAAATATTATATGGATTATTATAAATTTTATTTTATATTTTTTTTTAATTTAGATCCGAAATTAATTAAACAAACTACACCTCAAAACTGACTTAAAATCATTTGATCAACCTACTTTATCATGGTAGCAAATATACCATTGAAAAAAGGTAACTTTTGGCTTTTTTTCTGAGGTCGAGCTCGAGTCGAATTTCTCGGGGTCGAGGTCAAGCTTAGCTCATTATGTTTCTATTTTTTTTATGTTTAATTTTTATATTAATATTATTGTTTTCTATTACTATAAGTCATTTATATTATAACAAATATATACAAAATAAAAAATAAACTGATTTTATTTTATATGTATAATTATTACTTTATTATCATATACTTTTATGTTATATATTATTTATATTTATAATAAAAATAAAGAGTTAGGGAGCTTATGAACAACTAACAATGAGCTCGAGCTCGATTTCGTCAGAAATCTCGAACTTGTGCATGACTCGAGATTCTGTCGAGTCGACTTATCGAGCTCACAAGTCGATTTAGCTCATTTACACCCTAATGGAAGTTGTCTTACCTTGACTTTTTTCTCACAATGGTGTATGTATTTGCTCATTAATACCAAGCAATTCAGAATCGGACCGACTATGGAATCAGACATCCATTTGGGTCATGTTCCATAAGATCGAACCGGTTCAACGGGGTTTTTGATTCACTTTTTAATTTTTCTCTTATTATTTTTACTTTTATCCGACACTTCTATTCGACCACCCATGACCATGCATACCACAACTAATTTCATGAAGGCTCGCTCAGATCCAACCACAAATAATCAACTCCGTCGGTGGTTTATGAGCCGTTTTGGCTGAAAACCGGGTTCTTTGACCTGTTTGCCGGTTCCCGGATTTTGGTCATTCATCTAAATATTCGATTTTAGAGGTCAAACCGAACCGACTCATCGCCGGCTCGGACCGACAAAATTGATCTTAACCATTCTATAAATTATATACCAAAACACTGGGTTTGAAAATAAAAATTATGGAATTCTAAGAGGAAATTACTTAATTAATAAAAATAAAATGTATAAATCTGAAACGCTTCAATTTAGATTTATGTTTCTGTAATTTAATTTACAGCAGTACTACTATCTCTCTCAAACTGTATAAATTTTATCCACCAAAATTGATCTACATATAATTCTCCGGCCACCCTAAATTTGCACAATGTTTTACAATCTAAGCATAATCCAAACAAGAAAACCTCAAACAGATTCCTTAATATTGTAAGAATAATAATTGTAATTTGAATTCAAACTGTACTTAGACCCCTTCAGCCTCATGATCAAATGATGACGGAGCTTCTTCCACAAGCACCGCCGCCGCCTGGGCGACGAAACCCCGGTCACGTGCGCCGTCTTGCTCTTACTACTCCTTTTAACCGCCAGCCCACGAACCTCCGGCGGCCGGTAAGTCCGGATCAACGGCCACTTTATCCCGTTAAAGAACGGGTGGCGCTTGATATCCGTCGCGCCTCTGGCGCAACCCAGCCTCCGCCGTGGGTCCTTCACCAGTAATTTTTCTATCAAATCTCTGGCCTCCGCCATACCCTGCTCCTCCGCCGCCGCCGCCGCGGCGGCGTGAAACTTCACTCCTCTGGTGGAAGCTATATTCCTCAGGGTGGACTCTTTGCTCCGGCCTTTAAACGGCGTGGTGCCGGACAGAAGCTCGTAGATCAACACACCGAACGCCCACCAGTCAACCCCGTTGCCGTGGCCGTTGCCGCCGACGAGCTCCGGCGCCAAGTACTCGTGCGTGCCGACGCACGATCTCGAGAACGCCGCCGTCGGCTCCGCCACGAACTCCGTCGTCACGCGCTCCTTCGTTCTCCGGCCGCCGGAGCCCGCCTTGATCTGGGTCCGGTTGTTCTCCAATCTGGGTGAAACGTCGGAGCTGAAACACAGATCGAAATCCGACAGCATGATGTGGCCGTCTTCGCGGATGAGAATGTTCTCCGGCTTCAGATCACGGTACACGACCCCCCGCGCGTGGAGGTACTCGAGCGCTAGGAGTACTTCCGCGGCGAAGAATCTGACCGCCTGAACCGGTAGCCGGTGGTGGGGTTGCTTGCGGAGCAAGGAATGTAAGTCGCCGTTGGGGCAGTAATCCATGAGAAGACACGTGTAGTGGGACACCTCTATGTGGGCGTAGAGCGTCGGCAGAAAGGGGTGGTCGAGGGCGGAGAGAATCTCCGCCTCCGTCTGCACGTGCGAGAGCTTCTTGGTGGTCAACGAATCGCGGTCGACGACTTTGAGCGCGAAGTCGGCGTGGTCGTAGTCGCGGAGGCGGCAGAGGAAGACGCGGCCGTGGTTGCCGGAGCCGACGAGGCGGAGGAGCTTCAGGTGGCGGAGGTGGAGTGCGCCGTCGGAGGAGAGCGTGGTGGCGGCGTCCACCGCGGCCCAGTTGGGGTTGTCGTGGCGGCGGTGGGGGCGGTGGTGGACGTTGTAGACGGCGGCGGAGGGGGAGGCGGTGGAGAGGCGGGACTCGTTGAAACTGAGGGTGAGGCTGCTCCGGGATAAACTGGTGCGGCCGGAGAGAGAGCGGTCGGTGGTGGCGGAGGTGAAGCTGAGGTCTAAATCGGAGTCTGCTAAATAGTAAATGGACGACTCTTCTTGATCCATTTTTTTTTTTTTTAATTTATTTTTGATTAATAAGAAGTTAAGTCTTATTATGGTAATGAAATATTGTTGTTGTTTGTGTGTGTATATATATAGAAGAGTGTTCCTTTACTATAGGGGGTGGGGTTAGGGGGGTGGGGGGGTAGGGAGTAGGGGGTGGGTGGAGGAGGGGACACACAATTAATATTAACAACGTGATAGGTTGACACAAATTTGGTGACTTTTAATTTTTTTATTATTCTCTATTTTATCTATATATATAATTTTGTTTTCATGCATTCACATTATTATGATGCACTATAAGTGAAGATTGTAAGTGCGGTTTAAATCGGACGGATCAGATCGAAATTAGACATTTCGGAAAAAATCGGTTTTTTTCGGTGGTTTAAATCGGACGGATCATATCGAAATTAGACATTTCGGAAAAAAGTCGATTTTTTTAGGAAGTGAAAACCAATTCCAATTTTATTCTAAGAAACTCGGATAAATCGAAAAATTTCGAATTGGGATCGACGGAAATCAGAAATTTCGTTCCAATTTCCACTCTAATTGTAACTCTCTTTGTTTGTTTTAAGTTTCTCTAGCTTTTATTTTTTCTTATATTATGTGTTATTTTGGAGCTTTTAAGACTTAATTAATTTGTTTACCAATAGTACATATGCTATTTATCATTAACGATTAATGAATATTTATATGAAAAAAGTATCGTCTAATCTATGTGCATTTCGAATTCTTAATCTGTGTGCATTTACCTTACACTGCCGGTTGAAAATAAATCCTTTCTTAGGCTTGGATTATATTCGAGCCCTAGAGATTTTTTTTCAAAAACGCCTATGATAGACTAAGTTTCAATAAGTCTGAATATATTTAAAGACAGCCAGTTTCAAGCTAAGCTCGGGTCAATTAAATCTACGAAAACGGTAACTTTCACTTGTCGTCGCACATTGATTATCAACAACGAACCATCCATCAAACTCGTGTATAAATAGAAATTCTCCTACAAAGTTTCTTCTACACGAGTATCTGATTCGAGCGTCGGAGCTTAATTACAGGGACAAACAAATAAACAATTTGTTAAAAATATTGAAATATAAAAATGAAATATTATTGAAATAAAATGGGTTTAGTGGAGTTGACTAAAAAGTGAAAAGATTAAATTAGTAGTTGAAGAAAAGAGTAAAATGGGAGAGTTTTTTAGGTGCAGAGTGTGGGTGCTTGGAAACTCGTATTTCCATCCATCCGCGTCATTACATCGGAAGCTGCGAAAAAACTAATTAATATGATTTCCCATGTTTAAGTCATACTTAACTTTCTAGTTAATCACTATTCTATGTAATTACATAAACTGAAATGTTAAATGTCGTTTCAATTTTACTAATATCGTTTTGACTTCGAACCTGATTTTGACATATTTTGGTTTTGGCAAAATTCGAAACACGAAAATTATAGTTATTTGGGTTAGTTGTGTGATAAAGTTATACATGAATGAGTCACATTTTGAATTTTAGATACCTCAATACATTAAAGTTGTAGGTAGTATGAGTAGCCATTGATTTCATGTATATCTTTCTCGTCCGATATTCAATTTTGGTGATTCAAGTTGGATTAGAAAACTAACTCCGAATATTACAAATCCTATTTTTCGGGTTTTGCAAAATTTGGAATAAAATATTATCAAAATCAGGTTTGAAGTCGAAACGGTATTATTAAAGCTTGAACGACGTTTATCACATCCCTTACATAAATAAATAAAATTAT